AAATTGTTCTTGAAAACACTTCGGTTTTTAGACTCCTTTGCGTTTCCAAGAGAACCCTTTGTTTTAAGTTTTTTTTCTTATGATGCAAAACTCAGTGCATCACAAAAAAACTGATCATCAGTGAATCGACAATTTGTCTCTTGCAAAAACTTGAGTAGGAAATGAAGCAGCGCTGATTAGGACATAAAATACCTCAGTATATCTCCCGTTTTATCGCTAATGGGAATCCTTACCTAGAACGAATAATAATGATGAATGTTTATTGTCCTTTCAAGTTGGGATGAAAGTAATTGTATCTGCCCAGGCTTAAAACTTTTCCTCACCGTAGTATTCGAAAGAGCACGAGAAAACGTTTGGGAAGTACCCAAAAGTGAGTCTTCCTTCAGTAGATGGTTCTTTTCTTCTTGTCCAAACTATATACTTTCCGCACCTCTCTGCTTCTCTCTGTTGACCATTGAATGCTGTTACTGTTCTTATTGCTGATAACACTTCGTGTGCAATGTTTCCGGCATAACTGTACACTAGTAATTCTTTCTCCATATAACGGACAATTACCTAATACAAAGAAATTCTTATGGAAACAATTGTGAGAGATTTGCATTTGTCAAGCTTACAATGCCCGTAACGGATACTGTAATAATCACTAGCGGTGCGATACTCAAAGATAGTAACGCTAGTTTCCATCCAAGAATTACGGCAAATGCGATCAATCCAAGCGCATAACACAGTGTGGTGAGAAAATCCGGTATTTTATTACTGATGCCATATCGTATGTTATTCAGATGTTTATCCAGGTATGCATACACTTCTCCAGTAGGTTTTTTATCGAACCATTCAATATCACGATAAATAATATTTCGGAATAGCTTGTATCTAAAGTGTATGTGAGAAATGAGCATACAAGACAAGAAAACTTTTCTTCTTCAGTTCTCTGCTCAGATAAAAGTCGTTCAGACATCGAGGTTTGCCATCAGATAGCTATGCCCAGCTGTCTCTGACACCAATACGAGATAATGTTTTTTTATCTGTTCCTTTGACTGTAAAGGAAAGGGTCCTACCGATTTAAAATGCCTGTATGTGTGTATGTATGTCCTTGTCCTCGCCTAGATAAAAGATGCTAGGTCACTTTCTAGAACGAAATAAAAGACACTAAAATAGAGAATAGAGAAAAAAAAGATATATATAGAGTAGTATGGGGTAATTCCGACCACTTGCACAAACTTTCCTAGTATTTTACGTTTCCTAAGCCACTTTTGATCGGATAAGCATGCTGTTGAACATACAGATAGAACTAACCGTTCTCTATCGGCTTATGTAAAAATCTCCTACAAATCCCTCTCTGTTTTCAATCGCTCAAGATCAGCAGGCTCTGTGATCTTAATAGTTTGATGTAATTTTACACACTGTGGTAATAAATTTATTCAGTATTATTAAATATGCACATTAATTGCAGGTACATACCTAGCATCGCGCAGAATACGATATCTACTTTATTTTACTTATTTAATATTGCAAAAAAATACACAGAATGTTTATGTTTTATAATCATTGATTATTGTATTATATGTACGTAGAGATATCGTATTTTGCGCGATACTAGTAAGTACCTTAATTAAATTTGCACGCCGGTACACATTAATCAATTAAAGGTATGAAACCAGTTTTTGAATAAGTTTTGTGAGCATTTTGATATTTGTTTCATGGATACCTGGCTCTCGTTTTGATATTATCTTCCTTAATTTTAATCGAATTTCATGCCTTATTTTTTTAGCAGCCTTGATTAAGCTGTAGTCGTAGGTAGTCATGTAAAGTAAAGTTTGAATCGGAGCAGCAAATTTATGTTTACTTTATTCCAGGAAGTTGAAAGTACCTTTAGTTTCCATTATATTTGATTTACTCTATAATTACTTACTAACGTGGCCTCTGTATAGCAGATTGATTTACTTTGTTTTCATGCAAAAATGATTTTTCTCACTGTACAGAAAAAAGTAGACAGACAGTTGCAGCTCTAATTTGAATGTATCTTTATAAGGTTTATGGTACTTTGCCCTAATAGTTTGTCAGCAGAGCGCGCGTCGATGTCTCTGATGGGAAAAATATAAATTATCGTATTTACAATCTTTGTCCGAACACGTTCGATAGCAAACTGGTAGAAGACACATTCGCTCACATTGTGCTTTAGTTAATTAATCTCACTGGTTACTTCCTTCAAAAGCTTCAGTTTCATTCAATTTGCCTTTAGTCCAGACCTGGCATGCAACCATCCCAAGCTAGGGCTCGCTGATCGGCAGCGAACATGCTCGGTAACAAACCATTTGGTGACCGAACATGTTTGGTTGCGAACGGTTTGGTGACCGAACATGTTTGGTTGCGAACGGTTTGGTGACCGAACATGTTCGGTACCGATCAGCGATTCCTAGTTTGGGATTGTTACATGCCTAGTCAGCGTGTTTATACATCTTCTGTTTTCGCATGTAACATCTTGTATGAGGGAAGGACGCCTACAACCGGTGATAAAACCCACTAGCAACTTTTATGGACTTTTGTTGATGAAAATAAAAGCTTAAACAAAATAAAAACGCTCGAGATTAAGTTCAGTTCAGTACATAATTGACTCTTTTTACAAAAACAAGTATTTTATGTTGAATAAAAGCCTTTTTTGAAGCTTTTGATTAATTCGTCCTTTTGTGTATACTTCTTTGCACTTCCATCTCCAGTTTCCTTTTCTTTGATTGCACTTCCCTTCAGTTTCCTTGCAGTTTCCGTTAATTTCTCAGTAGTTTCCCATAGTTTCGTAAACTCAGACGCAGACAAACGAAAAGCACACATGGACACATTTAGTCTTGGCACGCAGGACATATCCCCTGGTGTGTTAGGGCGTACACACCAGTTATCATAACTAGTGTCCGGTAGTAGCGGACAGAGAAATACATACGTCAAGACGTAATACGAGAGTAATTAGAAATAAGAATTGGGAATGTGCCTCATTTATCGTACGAACAACGACAGTCGTCGAAACTGTCGCAGTATGTGCTTTCTGCTGCTTGTTGAGAATGTTATTCAGAATGTATTGTGAACAAGAAAGATAACTATTTTATTCGATAGAAACAATTTGATATTGGCGATTCCTTTTCAGTCTAGGAATAAAAAGATCAGGATGATGAACATTAATTGGTCTTGTACGTTTTTAATAAAAACAAGTTGATCAGTTTTTTAGTCTCCATTCTCCATTATGAAAATCGCTGCAAAAGCGAAAAATACAGTATCCCATAGAGAACAATGTCTGCTATTGCATCAAAACAGGATTTTTAGAAACGTTTTAAAATCTAACATAGAAAAGTGAATTTAAACTTTTCAATTTAAACAGTTAAAATGCACACTTTTCTTCAACAAGTGTTTTTAGAAAATCTTGTTTTCATGCGATAGCAGACATTTCTCTCTATCAGGTACTGTATTTTGCACGTTCACAATGATTTTTGTAACGGAGGATGGAGAAAGATGGTCAACTTGTTCTTATTAAAAACGCGAGAAGTTTAAAAAGCATTATCTCGTATCAATGTCAGAAACAGACGACGCATATAGCTATCTGATGGCAAACAACTCTTATCTGAGCAGAGAATTGAAGAAGAATTTTCTTGTCGTAGTAAGGTGAATTTTCACACATAGCGTATACATGCAAAACATCTATTTTTATCTAAAACAAAAAGTTTTGTAAGAATTCATACCTAAGCCGGCGTATTTGACGTTCACCAACAACCATGAAACACGAATATGCTAAATAATAGAGTAGAATAGTTAATAAACCGACTATGACATAGTATTTAATATTGCTAAACACGACATGTATTGGATAATAAGGATCAGCGGAAATATTTCCTGATGTAGTGCTGCAAAGAGAAAATATGTTCATTTATGCTTCATGTTGAAATTGAATTAAGCACACCATTGAAATGTCGTATTTTTCAAGTTTTGATTTATTTTGTTGCTAAGCATTGCGTTTGTTATGATAGCATGTATATAAAGAAGTACTGGATACAATGCCCCCAGTGACAACGACGCTGTTGTGCCAAAAAATATTAAAATTATGTCCCATTCATCAAAATATTTACTCTAAACAATAAAATGAATTAAGTTCATTGAACTAAGATCAGATCTATACAAACAATCGTCAACAAGTTATAATTTCTTGATTTTTTTCTTTTCGATGTCGTTTTCTCCACCAGCCTATAACACAAACATTATTCTGCCTACTTGCGTTTCTCTTCAGCGAAATACGTACGGTATCGTGTCATCATATTCCGACAGTTCCGAAACGGATGCGTCACTTTGTTCTAACATCACTTTAATTTAAGTTAATATATTAATTTGAAATATAGTAATTTATTTCAAAGATAGTTGAGAAGCTCGTACACTTATGGTTATATATTTGGTGATGCGCTGTAAAAAATAAAGTGTATAAATGACACATATAAAGTGAACGCCAAGTCGATTCTCAGTGGCCGTCTAGAACGTACGGCGTAGGTGTGTAAAATACACACTGACTGACTAGTGACCGTCTAGCTTTGCACACTGGGACCAATTTAGACAACGAAACTGTTTCGTTGTCTAAACCGTCTGTGCTGGAAATGCCGCAGATCCATCAATCCGTTGTTCAAATCTATCATATGGCGATGTTTTTCTAATCTGTTTTGGCTAGGAGTGACAGCATATATACTTTCGAGAACGGTGATCATGATTCTAAAATCATTTTTTGTTTGCAACTGTAGACACCTGAGTGAGACTGTTGACCACTATTTTCGAGGTTGTCAAGAATACTCAACACAAAGGAATAGTCTTTATACTAAATTAACACTTCTCAATTTCCAACTAGCAACAAATACGTTAACACTCGAGATTAAGCTCAATTTAGCGTACTGCTAAAAGACGCGAACACCCCCAAATTAAAATCTGAGTTAGCCAATCGGTAGAGCTCGTCGCCTTGAGTATAGCAACGCCTAACGAACACCCAAAAAAGTACTTTGTGAAAGTACCTTGTGTGAAAAGTAGAGAACTGCACTACCCTCCGAAACCCGATTCCAACTCGACTCCGACGGAGTCGGAGTCGGAATCGGAATCGACAATTTGAAAATTTTCGGCGTCGGAGCTGGAAGCGGAATCGCAAAAAAATATTTTTCGAAGTCGGAGTCAGAACTAAAAAGAAGGATTTTTCGGAGTTAAAATCGGGGTCCGTTGACAAGACTAATAAAATTGTTTATTTTTGCTCTAAAAAGAATTATTTTCATATGAATGACTATCCATTGAATATACTAAAGAAGACAATACGAGGGATTCGATTGAACAAGACTGTACAAAAGCCTGTTCAGAACTTAAAACAGTATTATTTCTCTATGCCTTATTATGGAGAGTACTCGTTAATC